CGGAAGAATTACTGAAAAAAATTATTCAAGATTGCATGGATCAAACCGTAGAGGCCTCAAGAAATCAATCAATTGAACCTGACCGCTTAGGAGCTATAATTTCTTCACAATTATTAGATAACGACATATGGATACCAATTAGAAAGCTAGAAGATGACACAATCGAGAACATACTTAATAGATTCCAACTGGTTTCTCAATCAAAAATAGAAAAGGGGTCAATTTTTGGGCAACCATTCACAATCAAAATTCAAACACTTGGCATTTCATCACTTTCAACAAAACAATCAATTAGAGGGAGCGCACCCCAAGAAAATTCAACAACAATTACTCTTATAAATATTGACCGACTAATAAAAATCTCAAACCCCAATAATTTATGTCTATTCTATGCTTTGGAAATAACAAGAAAATATGTTACTAAAGAATTGGGTGATAAACGAAAATTTAATAGATATATGCAATACAGTCATCGGCAAATGAAAGATATTTTCGATCTATTAAAGGCAGCAAAAATCCCGCAACATCTCCCTGAATATGACGCTGTGGAATATGTACCAATTGTTGTCGACTTTTGGAACAAGCAATATAAAGACGTAGGCTATAAATTTAAAGTATTTATTTTTGGAAATGCAAGTGAGAAACCTATATTCAAATATGGAAACGATAATTTCAACATGCCTATTTCAATTTATCATACAAATAATCACTTTGATGGAATAAGATTTGTTGGTGGAATGTTTGGATTAAAACACAAGTACTGCTTCACATGTGAAAAGAAATTTAGAAAATCAAAGGAACATGACTTTAAGTGTAGATCACGCTGCAATCTTTGTGGGCGCGTAGGGAGTGACAGACCATGTGTGGCAACAGGAGACTTTTACAAAAAATGTGATGACTGTGGGAAAAAATATTTGAATGAAGACTGCTTCAATCATCACAAAAAAAGCAGCAATTGTCGGCAAACAAAAATTTGTGAGAAATGCGGTGTTATATGGTCAATGAAAAATTACAAGAGAGAGATTGAAAAGAAGCACGTGTGTGGACAGAAATGGTGCCAAATTTGCCGGCAATTTCACAGTATGGATAGAGGGTGTTTTATTCGCCCATTGGAGCTTAAAAAACCAGTCGATTATCGGCTGGTAACTTTCGATTTTGAGGCCACACAAAATGAAGTGATAAAAAATGCTAATGAAGAAAGACGGCTCCACAATGTAAACTTCATTGCCGCAACAGTAACTTGTACAAAATGTATGGAAAATGATCAATTATGGCGTTCACCTCTCAGACAAAATGGAAACAGCTGCACAATCTGCGGAAACAATCGGTCAATTACATTTTCACACCGCCCATTCACCCAAACAAAAGTCGATAAACAGATTGTCACAGAAAATCCGCTCAAATTCTTCATTCAATGGATTCTATTTGAACTTAACCCCCAATATACAACAATGGCATTTTCACACAATGGAGGACGATATGATATGGTAATGGCTTTCAGAGAAATATATTTGAACGGTGTTATCCCGTCAATGATTCGTCGTGGTAATAAGCTTTATGAATTAAAAATTCCCCGCAACAACAAATGCAATGAAGTTATATTTCGTGATTCGTTTAATCTCTGCCCAGTCGCTTTGGGGAAGCTGATTGGTGCATTTGGACTACAAATTACAGAAAAGCAATTCTTCCCTCACTTGGCAAACATCCCAGAAAATTACGGCATAACCCTACAACAACTACCTTCGAAATCTGATTATTTATATGAGGGAATGAGTCCTGGCAAGCAAAATGAATTTATTAAATGGTATGAAGATGAAAAAAATAATCAATTTTGTTTGGATGAAGCCTTGGCCGAATACTGCACAAACGATGTACAAATACTCACAGAAGCACTGATTGCCTTTAGAAAAAAGTTTACAGAAATTAGCAAGAAGAAAAACACACAACCTGGACCAGCGGCAGAAGGAATCGATATTTTGAAGGATGCAATGACAATAGCATCGGCCTGCATGAAACATTTTCGTCTCAACCATCTGCAACCTGAACACTTGGCAATCGTCCCGGAAAAAGGATATGAGAACAGTGATAATCAAAGTGAGCTTGCCCTAAAATATTTACAATGGTATGAAGAAACAAAAGGAGTGGAAATACAATATGCACATTCAGAAGGTGGGGAACATGTAGTGGCTGGAAAATACAAAGTTGATGGGTATATACAGGCAGAAGATAGGGCAATTGAAGTAAATGGCTGTGTTTGGCACGCTTGTAAAAAATGTTTTGGAAATGAACTGGACAAAATTTTACCCAATGGAAAAAGTGTAGGGGAAACACGTGAAGATGATGAGAAGAGACTGGAAATAATTAAAAAACATATAAAGAATGTTGATGTAATATGGGAGTGTGAAATTCATCAAATGCTTCGCCGCAATAAGAAAATGAGGAAAACTTTTGCAAATTACCACAACAAAGGACCAATCAATATTAGAGACTGCTATTTTGGTGGGAGAACTGGACCATTACAAATGTACTTTGACGCAGAAAAAGAACAACATAAGATTACCTACTTAGACTTTAATTCACTCTACCCCTCAACAATTGCTACAACATCCTTTCCGGTTGGGCATCCGAAAGTGTATGTTGTACCATTGGCTGAACAAAAAGTCTACTGGACAAGAAGTGAGCAGATCCCATTCAAAGGAATTTTAAAAGTATTTTTATTGCCCCCACCGCAACTTGATGTTCCTGTTATTCCCGTCAAATTTGATGAACGTCTTCTTTTCCCGCTATGCAGAAAATGCTCAGTCACCTACCCAAATGGCGCAAACATCAAAGATTACCGCTGCCCACACAATGACGAAGAGAGAGGGTGGGTTTCAACTTGTACATCGATTGAATTAGAGGAGGCATTAAAAGTTGGATATACAGTTACAAGATTTTATAGAGCACTGCATTATGAGAAATGGGATGAAAATTTATTTAAAAATTATGTGGCAGAGTTTATGGCAATGAAAATCCATGCAAGTGGGTTCCCCGAAGGAGTAGAAGGAAAAGAAAGTGAGGATAAATTTATAAAAGAATGTAAGGAAAAGTTTGGCATTGAGCTTCAAAGAGACAAAATGGTTCCGGATCAGGCAATGCGTTACATTTCAAAATTAATGCTTAATTCATTATGGGGAAGGTTCAGCCTAAGAAATACCCTATCAAAAAGTGTGATCATCAACTCCCCTAATGAACTACTTGAATTTGACAGCAACAAAGCAATTGAAGTACAATCTGTTGACGAGTTAACTGAAGAAACAATTTTACTTACTTACAAGCCGAGAGAAGAATTTATAATTGAACATGACACCTCCAACATAGTGATATCGTTATGGACAACGTCAGCAGCAAGAATTAGATTATTGAAAGCAATGCAAAAGGTTGCGGGAAAACTTGACTGCAATCTTCTGTATGGGGACACAGACAGCATATTATTCTCTCATCCAAAGGACAAGGAGTGTCCACTCCAGACTGGCCCCCATCTAGGAGATTTGGCAAGAGAATATGCAGGATCTGAAATAAAAGAGTATGTTGGTGGGGCGTGTAAGGCGTATGCACTAAAGATGGAAAACAACAAAAATGCCAAAATTAGTAGTGTTTTAAAAGTACGCGGCATCACCTTAACTGCTGATGTCTGCAAGATTTTGCACTTTGATAGTTTCAAAGAAAGCGTACTTCAATATGCGAATGGAGGAAACGACAATGAGGAAGATGAAGACGTGGATAAGGGAACAATTATGATTGAAAACCCAAACTTTATTCGCCGGAACGTGAAGGATGGAATGGTTTATTCAACTAAGATGAGGAAAATATTTAGACCAATAATACAAAAAGGGATAATTTCAAACCTCAAAATTGTACATTTCGGACAAAAATAATTTTTTCACTTGTATTGTAATATTTCATAATGTTTTTTATTGTACTTGTTAATTTCACATTAATTGTTTTAAATTGTATTTGAATTTGTTGATAAATTATTATATTATTAAGGTGTTTAATAAAATTTAAAGTTTATAAGATAAGATTAATGAAAAGTTAAGGATTATAAGATTAAATTGATGCAAACTTAAGGAATAGAAGATAAAATTGCTGCAAAGTTAAGAGATAGAAGATATAATTCATGCAAAGTTAAGCAACGGAAGATGTAGTTTTTAGGGGTAAAAATGCAAAGTTAAGCATTGGAAGACACAATTGCAGCAAAGTTAAGAGATAGAAGATACAATTGATGCAAATTTAAGGCATAAAAGATAAAATTGATGCAAAGTTAAGAGAAATAGCACAAATTTTCAGTAAAAAAGTTAAAAATAGCCGTGGTCTACGCATTTTTCTTATTGGTGGGTGTCAGGGAGTGTGTGCTCATTGGTTAAAGATGCAGACATATATTCATATGTGTGCAATGTACAGTATACACGCTCATTATTGGTGTGTATGAGGAAGGTTCTCCCCATCGGGTAGATCTGTGTATATAATCTCTGTTTGAATTGTAAGGGTGGTTGCTCATTGGTTGAATGCTAGTGTGTATACCTTTGTTAAATTACTAATTTTAAAACAAAGACAAAATTAATCATTATTAAAAATAAAAAATGTTAAAGTTCCCGATTATATTATTAATTATTCCGTCCTTAGTGGCAGACACTTGGGACTCGAAACCCTGGAAGAGAGAAGAGTATGTGACAACATTATTTCGGAGGACGCCGCTGCCTATATGGCGGAGAACACCGCCACCAATAATTCCTAGCAGAGATAAAAATACAACACTGGAAATACCTATATGGAGGAGAACATCGCCACTACTATTTCCAAGCAGAGAAAAAAATACACCAGTGGAAATACCAATATGGCGGAGAACACCAGCCCCACTATTTCCTAGCAGAGAAAAAAATACAACAGTGGAAATACCAATATGGGGGAGGACACCACCCCCAATATTTCCTAGCAGAGGTGTAAATAATTTAGGAGAGATGAAAGATAAATCATTCAATAAAACAGCTGTAGGAAAAATATGGTTTATAAAAGATATTTTTTATCTGAACAAGACAGATTTAGCCAGGCAAGCAGAAATAAAAAATATGGGGCGGTGGATTCTACGCTGGGATCTTTGGGACAAAAAGTTCAAATCTGGCAAATATAATAGAACAGACTACTTAATGTTTTCGAGATGGCGATTTTTATACGAACCTCCTATTTCTAACATTATCGATTTTTTCAAAAATTTATAAAAATTTTTGTTTTCATTTTTTCATGTAAAATGTAATTTGAATAAAATTTTCGTATAAATTAATCAAAAGATATCATAACATTGCGCTTTTCCCACTTGTTGGGGTTACCTTCTATTTCAATCCACAATATTCCCCGTCTAGATTTTCCATTAGTGGGCGTAGGTGGTAAGCTTCCGGCGGATATTGGAACACTATTGAGACTAAGTGTTGATATTGACGAAGTCGCATGTGTGCGCCGATTTTTATATGTTGAACAACTTATAGTTGAAGGGGACGATGTAGGGGCAAAACATAAAAGCTCTAGCGGGTAGTATCTCTCACAAATTCCATTCTTTGTAATTGTTCTTTCGATAACACACTGATGAAACGGGTGTTGGAGTTTTATCTTGTGGTGAGCAAAGAAATATGCCGCAACAGATATGTTGAATGGATAGCCTAAATCGCCGAAGGCTTTGATTAAATGAGACCCTGAAGTTGTAATTCCGTCACATCTAACGCTACTTTTCAAACCGTTCCTATCAGAATAATTTGTCTCTAACCTCCCCTTTTCATTAATAAATTTTGCTATCAAGTCGGCATTTTCTTGATACATTAATCTATATCTCACCAAATAGCTCGGGCAGTTCAATTTTTTAGAAATCTCGTCCAAAACAGTGTTCATATTTAAGTGATTAATATAAATGATTTGTTAAATGATCAATTAACTTATTGAATGATAAGTTAAAAAAATTTTTCCCTTTTATATGCAAAATTTGACCTTGAAAATTGGAAGTATTACGAAATCTTATAAGTAGGCGTGGCTTGAGGAGTATATAAGGTAAAAATTTCCCAACTTCTCATTCATTTATTCATTTATTAAAACTTGCAATTTGAATTACTAAATAAAAAATGAGCGGATTAAAAAAAGAAAAAATTCCAAAAATGGAATTACCTAATGAGCCAAAATTTGAGGAGGAAGAGATTATTGAATTAGAAGAGGAAAAGGAAATAAGCAACAAAGCAAAATCCCCTACCTCTAAGATAGCTAATGGGAAGATTCAGAAGAATAATGGGATAAATCCGCGTATTCTGTGGAAACTTGTGCGCATCAAGGAAACCCCGCGGATTGAAATTAGAATTTGCAAGAAATGTGCCAATGCGCTTTATAACGATAAAAATAAATTTACTCAGAAGGAAAATGGGAATATTGGAATTTGCTTTGAGATTTGTGAAGCATGCGCGAAGTTAAATATGCAACTCAAGGACTTTGTTGCTGAATGGGATGAGAAGAATTTGCAGAACTTGAAAAAGTGATTAGTGATTAATTTTTTCATTCAAATTGTTATTTGCTTTTAGCTTAATTTCGTTAATTGTACTAATTTAACTTTAGATAAAATTTTTTAATTATTAGCATTGGAATTTTTAATCATAGGATTCTAAATTTTCAGAAGGCCACGCCCATTTTCAGAGTATAAATACCGAAAAATTCCCAAGGATCAAACTTCCATTCAAAATTGAATTCATTTATCAAATTTCTTAAAAATGTCAGTAATTGAGAATAATTGCCAGCTCCTGGAAAAAGTTATCCCCGAGGTTTTATTTACAGTTTCTTCTTCTGGTGTGACAATTTCGTCACCGCGGCTGATAACCGCACGTTTTGTGGAGTTTGACATGGGTGGGAAATGCAAAAGCTGCAGGGGAGAAAATGTGGACATTGATTTTATTGTCACTCCGAAGGATGTAACCCTATATTGCAATCGCCTAAAATCAGAGAAAGTAGTAATGTTTGACCATATTTACGAGATTCCTCAACAATGTGTTTTTCGCGTAAAGTCAAAAGGGAGGAATTTTAATATTTTTCACAAGGAACAAATCTGGAATGAAAAACAGTTTATCACCGGTAATGAGCAAATGAGTGTCAAGGAATTTTTGGCAAAGTTTTCACAGAAGAATACTCAAGTAGAGAAAGAAGAAGCAAAAGAACTTATAAAGAAAGATAAAGAAAATAAATTAGAAGAAAAAGATAATTCAATACCCCCTCTTAATCATTAATCATTTTTTACATTGTTATTTCCAGCAAACATTTTTAAACATGAATTACCATTTATTTTCCAATAAAGATTTAAAATTGAAGCTTCCATTTGGGTGTATTATTAGCGGCCCAAGTTCAACTGGTAAAAGTACATTTGTACGAAAATTAATTTCCTACTCTGATCAGCTTATTGATCCTATCCCAAAATCTATTCTTTACTGCTATGGCGAATATAATTCCCTTGTTCCCGAACTACAGCGAGCCGGAGTCTCAGTTTATGCCGGAGTTCCCCCTGAGGATCTTATTAAAAAACAGGAACAACCCTCTCTAGTCATTCTCGATGACCTAATGTACTCAATTGACGAAAAATATTTATCGGAACTCTTCACAAAGAAATCTCATCATCTTAATTTTGGCATAATTTTCATCACCCAGAATCTCTTCGAGAAAAAACTTAAAGTCGCACGGCAAAATTCTATGTATATTGTATTAACTCGCGCGCCTAATAGTGCATTGGCCGTTCGAAATTTAGGAGTACAACTATTCCCAGGAAGATTAAATTATTTTCTCGACGCATATCGACAAGCTACAAGCACAAGTAATTATTCATACCTCTTTATCGATTTACACCCCTCATCAGATCCAACACTTAGACTAAGAACAAATATATTTAGAGACAAAGAATCAGAAGACCCCTACAATTCACCACCCATTATATTTTTACCCAAAAATTCCTCTAATTAAAAACCATGTCAACGAATATTAGTCAACTTGTCAAGGACAACTTACAATTTCTCAAACAACTTGCAAAAACACGCTCATTGACTAAAAGAAGGCGCCTTTTAAAGAAAGCTTCAACCGATCAATTACTTTCTCTCACTGAAATTTGTTTTAATATAGTACGCGATAAATTTAAATTAAATAAAAGACAAAAATCTCGCCTTCTTCCATTCGCTAATTTTGTTCGCCGTATGAGTAGATTAAAATCAGAAAGAGGAGCCAAACGTACAGTAATACAGCAAGGAAGCGGTTTACCAATAGGATTGTTTCCCGCACTTCTAACCCCAATCATTATTGAGCTAACAAAGACATTGACCACCAGTTAATAAAATGGCAAATAAATTTATATTAATTCCTGAGGATATATATCGCGGCTTACTTACTCACCCCTTACCAGAAACTGGAAATATCAACTTGGATTTTACACGAGAAAATTTGGAAAATATTAAAAGGCAAAATGCAGACACAGAATTAAAGAATATAAATTATAACCAGGAGTTGAGACGGTATTTACACATGTTGAAAGATCAAAATGAAAGACCGATGAATGTTTCAGTCCGCCAAATGGAAGACCCAGCGCTAGAGCAAATCAAAAAATTACTTCCCCTACTCCAGACAAGCTCCAATGAAAACCGTCAAGTAGCCGAAACCCCCCAAAAAGTTTTTAAGAAAAATATTTCCACACCAAAATTGTCCCCGTTAAATGAGGATGATCGTAGTATGCACACAGCCGAGGAGGAATCTCCGGATTCCCCGAGGAAAATGGGGGCAAAGAAGTCAACTATAAGAGAAAAAACAAAGGAAATTTTTGAAAATATGAAACAGGAAAATCTAGATAAATACGATGTGAGCACAGATGGAAAGATTTTAACTAAGAAGGGAGGAAAAGAAATACAGGGAAGCAATGTACAAAAATCTCTGGAGTGCATTCTCCGTACAGGAATCAGTGGGAAATTGAGATGGGGAGAGTTGACACCGCCGGGAACATCAGTTTTAGAAAGTAAATTAAAAAGTGATAATACAGTTTGGCCGTTGATAGAGAAGGCAAGAGAAAGTTGTACCCCAAAAAGAGCAAATACAAAGCAAAAAAGAAAAATACCTGAATCCAAAGAAATACCTGAATCAAAATGGAGAGCCCCAACAGAGTGGAAATGATATTAGATAAACTTTACAATGATCCAGTGAACCCGGCAGGGTTTGCTGGTGTAAACCAGCTATGGACAGAGGCTAGGAAAAAAGATGCGAGTATTAAAAAGAAGGATGTTGAGGAATATTTGGAAGGAAATAGAACTTATACAATTCACCGTCCTAGACGTGTACACTTTAAACGATCAATAACAAATCCCGCAGGTTATATGACAGATGTTCAGTGCGACTTGGCAGATTTTCAAAAGTTATCGCGGCAAAATAATGGGAAGAACTATGCACTTGTGGCAATAGATGTTTTAAGCAAAAGAGTTTTCGCTGAACCCGTTCGTAGTAAAAAGTCAAATGATATGATTGATGCATTTAAAAAAATTTTGTCAAGAATGGAAATGCACCCCCACCGTATTTTTAGTGATAAAGGAACAGAATTCCGAAGCAAAGAAATTATGGATTTTTTCAGAGAAAAGGATATTGAAAAATACACGGCAACTTTCTCTGAAGTTAAAGCCTCTCTAGCTGAAAGATGTATTCGAAACATTAAACAGAGATTGTACAGGTTTATGAGTGAGAAACATACATTAAAATGGACAGAGGCATTACCGAAAATAGTTGACGCAATAAATCATTCAAAGTGTAGGGTTTTAGGAGGATTAAGACCGATTGATGTAAGCTTTAACAATGCAAAGGAAATCAGAGAAACTGTATTTGGCCCTATCGGTAAAAATAAGCTGAGAAAAAAACCGCGATTTAGAGAAAATGATCATGTCCGTATGAGCAGAAACAAAAATATTTTTTCCAAGGGGTATCTCCCAAATTTCAGTGATGAAATTCTTCAAATAGATCTAGTTAAAAAGAAGGCTAACCCCAACAGATACCGCGTCCGTGACGATAATGGGGAATTATTTAAAGGATACTTCTATCCTGAGGAATTGACCCGTGTGAGGAAGGATGAGAATACCAGTTACCGGATTGAGAAAATTATTAAGAGCAGAAAGAAAAAAGATGGAGGAAAAGAATTTTTTGTTAAATTTTTAGATTATCCCCAACCCCAGTGGATAGATGAAAATCAGTTTGTATAAAAGGCACATTTTTTCATTTCCCATAAATCATTTGTAATCATTTACACTTTTATTGTTCAATTTATTATTATTAAAATAAATAATGGCTAATACATTCTTTGTTGTTCTTCCCAGTAATGTTAGCGATTACCCAGATAATAAACCCAATAAATACAGAGTGCATCTCCCCAAGCCAATAGAATTTCAAGGTGGAAACTGGGTATGTGGGCTTTACAGTATCCAATACCCACAGTCATGGGCTGCAACTATTGGCACCGACGTTAAACAATGGATCGAAATTAATTATAGAAACAAGAAACCGCATAGAATTGGAATTCCCAAAACAACACAGTTAACGCCCAACGGGCTC